CGCCACTGGACTGAGGGGCCATTTGTCCATGCATTGGCTCACTGTGGGGAGCTTCAGACTGTCGGGATTGTGTCCCTCGTTTGTGGGGAAAGGTCTGACGATGTGGTGCATTCCTAATGATCTAGTTTTGTTCTTTCCCATCCGACGGCTTAGTCTCTTCGCATCATGTTGCTTCTTTGTGTTTTGTTCAGTCCCACTCGCCTTTAGATGTAACTTCACTATGTTCCTTGTACATGTATACCTCTTGTAGTTGCCCTGGTTTGTATGTGTGTTTGTGATTGTATCGCGGAGCTGGTTAAACAATATACTGTGTTTATGTTGCGCGGTCTTTAATTCACGCCGGGCCACGGAGGTTTCTCCATAGGATATGTGAAAATTGTAGAATGTCTTTAAAAAGGAAGTTTATGAATTCCCCGAACTGCAAGACGATGACAGTAGAGCATCTTCAGCCATGTAACTCTAGTTCGACACCTCAAACGCCCGCAGACGCTGACCGGGCGTGTTCGTTTTGAGCCCCTATTTATTCATTCGCGCAGCCACAATTCTCATTTTCTTCCTTATATGTCCGATCATTTGCACGTGATTGGTGGAGATGAAGAGAAGGAAATAAAAGAATGACTAAAGAAAGAAAAAAGGTGGTCCGGGTGAGGCTGCGTTCTATGTGGCGGATTGACCGGGCGTGTCCGCGAGCCCTCATATCCTCCCCATATTTAAGATGGATATGAGGGTTCGCGTACAGCCTGGACATGTAAGGAACATATGAGGGGTTCAGTTGGGTCACTTGTTTCCCTCTCTCCTATCCAGCCGGGCGCGTCGACGGGCGTTTAAAGGATCCGGCTGTAGATGCTCTTACAAGTTGTTCACTTTTTCTGGGATTAGTTGTCGCTCAAATGGATGTGTCCAGTGTACAAATTTAAACGACCACGTGCCCGTTGATGCCCCTGTCTTTGTAAAACTGCGGAGGGGCCGGATTCAAGCATCCTGTCTTTGTTTATCCCTGTTGACAATTTAGGTCCTGTAGAAAGTAGTGCAACGTTCTCCATTCATAGATCTGCGCCTGCCTTTATCGGACAGGTGGCGTGCCACCTTGTGATCGATGAGCTCAAGATTCGATTGCCAAAGCTAAAACCTGGTCATCCAATTCGTCCCCGTACGTGTCGTGCGCGGTAGGAAGGCGTTGGAAGAAGCAGGAAACGTGCGTGATGCATCATGCATGGCATGCGTAGTGTGCGCATGGTGTTCGCGGTTACACGTCGTTGTTCTCGTCGAGACTTTGCGTGCGCGCGCACGTCAAAGCTTTTAATTACCACGTCAAAACTTGATGCGGCTAACCTTGGAAATTAAACACGCTGCGGTCGCTGTAATTATTTACTACTCTAAACTCCTGTCGGCCTCGTGGCACGTAGGAGTACTTAATTCGGCGTCGCAAGTCAAAAGCGGAAGAGTAAATTACCAAGAGAGGATCCGTCGTGATCAGAAAGAGGAGCAAGTTTGATCAAATCTTCTTTCTCTCGTACGTTTGGCAGGTCTTGCACGTAGGTCCGCAGGATTAGTTTTCAGTTAATCTTTCCATTCCGGTTCGCTGGGAGCACCCGAGCTGGTACGTGTCCGCAGCGTGTGACCCCGCTCTGCTATCAAGGCTGGCTTATTCGCCTGCGTACGCACGTACGTGATGTGCATGGCTGTATTTTTGATTTGTCATGTGCAGACTTTTCTTTCCTCTGACAACCGGTGTAGCTAGGGAGTTGACAAGAGGGCGACCGGAATCCTACGATTACCAAATGTCTTGGTAAATAAGATCTTTTTCCTGACACGTAAATGGAAGGGCGCACGCAACTGGTGGCGAGCTAACGGTTAGAGTTTTGCCACTTCCGGTCTCATCTCCCCTGGTCATACGTAGGCTCGTCAGTACGAGTAGATACACTAGTAGTACAAGTTGGGTCAATTTGAATCTGCTAGTTGAGCTCGGTTAGTATGACTTAATCTATTACCAACTGAAAAGAAAGAGCGGCAAACCAATTTATGGTTGGATGGTTAGAGGGACTGTGGCATCTTCAGCCCGTTAGGGTTTAAAGACTGATGCTTGCATTTATTTCTGAATTTATTTCAGAAATTCCCGGCGATGCCCATTCAGTGGAAGGAGATGTTTCCATCAACGACGAGGTGCCTACGGTTACTTTGTAAATTTCAAGATGATATGCCGGCTCAGTCTTTCGGAAACGCTTATAGGGGTACTGCGTTAAAAAAAAGAGCGGAAATGTTGAGGACGACCGAATTTGTTTGGCATGTGACCGGTTCGTAGCTGCACGCCTGGAATCCCGGAGGCCCCAGCGGCGCTCCGCCCGTCGACCATCGTGTGCTCCTGACACGGCCGCGGCTGACCCCATTTCTTTTCTTTTCGATTGATGCTTGGCTGGCCCCATTTCCTCCCCGTTTACTTTCGCAAAATTCAAACCTTATCAGCGGAAACTATGGACGTCAACGCACATGTTCACCTCGTAGCAGAACGGCTGCGACGAGACCAAACCAAAACAGAGCAGCACACACCTCGAAATTCATCAATCAAAAAAGAAAAAGAGAAGAAACTCAACGCAGCGCCCATGGTCGACGGACCATGTGCCGGGCGCCTCTTGCTTTCATCTAGCTAGTGCCGCTCTTGTACATTTACTTTCTTTCTTCTATAAAAATATGGTACGCCTTTAGCGTACTCTCTAAAAAAAATCCTCTTCCTCCCCCTCGGAGCTTTCGCACCGCAACAAAACCGCATACTGGTAGCACAGCATATCCTAGTCTAATGCCAGTACTCCTACTGTCTACTGGTACTATTATCATCTTTCGTCGTCTCCCCCACGTTTCTCAGCATGTGACCACGAGTACTAGTTTATACTTGGCCGTATGTCCGTCGACCGGCCGACCTCGCCGCGCCCGCCATCGGCCATGCCGTACTGGCCCCGTCCGCCGCCCGTGAAAGCCTTATATTTTCGCGTGTTTGTGCGCCGGTCGGACGGGGACGGGTGGGCGCCGGGTCGCTGTCCTGCTCCCCGTCTCCGTGATACCACCACCAAAGCGGGTGCGCGTGACACGCCGAGTCTCCTCCGGCGAACCGTGGGCCGGGAAAGATAAGATCACGCCGCGATTCAAGTACAGTCGACAACATGTACCCGTTTCTCCCTCCTCCTCGTGTCCTCGTGATCGGCGGGCACGGCAAAAGGGCGGGGAGCCGGAGTAAAGCCCGGCTGGCCGACGCCGACTTGATGCCGGGAGGGTGCGTCTCGTGACTGTCTGGTCTCTGGTGTAGGGGTGGTACGGCTGTGCGGGTTGGCCGAGATTTATTTGCTGCTCTGTTTGGTTGATGGCGGCATGCAAATGCACGTGTGTGGGCGAGCTCGCATATGCATCCGTTTGTTCTTGGCGTGTGCAAGCAAGCAAACCTTGTTGAAATCGTGAACACGCTAATTTTATTTAGGTGGTGTTTATGTCTGCTGTTTGTTAATGGAGCGCCGTCTCCGGTTAGCCATTATCTCACCTCGTGTCGAACCATGCGTTCGCTTTTTTTTTTTTGTATAGTTCACCTCGATATAATCTGAAAATGACCGACATGAAAATATCAAAGGGTCTCATATACCGGTATAACCACGGACATCGGAATATACATGGAGCACAAGCCGGGAAAGAGGGAAGAAAAGGGAGGGAGATGGCAAATCATTCAAACAAAAAAAAAAGATGATGGATGTCCCCGACTTATAGCGGGAGTTCGAACCATTACTAGTGGTTAGAATTTTTTTTACTGCACGTACGATTAGCTTGATCTACTAGGATGAACGAAGTAAGGTGGCGATAAAGCTTGACTGATTTGGCCATGATGCGGATGGATATGGTCGGAATAGCAAACAAACCGCCCGCGCGAGAGCCAATAAAAACCTTGTGGTATTGGAATGGGCTAAATGGGCCAAAAGCTAAGCGCTTCATAACTTTTCTTTCCTAGCTATTGTAGATGTATAGGAAGATCATTTTTCCGTTTGTTTTAAGATTTAATTACCAGAAGACCAATTATAAACTTGGTCATCAACCAAGATCAAAACACATATTAATTATAAGTCTTTTATCCTTTTTCTACATGTGGTGAAGACAAATGCATATAATTTAGAAGTTAGATAATCAACCTTTTGTGATATTATATTATTTTCATTATAAGTTTCCTCTGAAAAGATGGAAAGTGCTTCTATATTATGCTGGCAAATTCAGATTGTTTGTATACTCACACATTGTGGTTTGACATGCACATACAAGTTAAATTTGTGAATAAATATAAATATTCGTCCTTCCACCGATTGTATCTAATGGCTACTTCCGTAAGAAATACTCACACATTGTGGTGCAAATTTCGCATATTGATTTTTTATTTCAACGTTAATAAACCACTCTTTAGTGATCTGAACGCCCTTATATTTCTTTACGGAGGGAGTAGATGGTTATTTCGTGTTCAATATGCTCTAAACCAACTCTTTGAAATTTACTCTGTACCAAGCAACTTTAATCGTTTCTCTTTATATAGTATTCACCATGTTAGTGAAAATATAATAATATAAAAATCTTTTACGATCAATATATGCATACAAACTTAATGATATTGTTGCTACCGGCATTTTTTGAGGAAATAATTACAATTATTCGTAATCAAATTTAGATAATTTAACTGTACATTGTGAATAGATATATGTACACAACTTTGCTTATTGTCATTGCAATAAAAGAGTACAACAAAAACATGGGAATTCTTCAACAACCTTTAATTTAATAGTGCACTACATGCCTACAAGGATTCAAATATGAAGTTTTACAAATATTTTGATATGACACAACTCTTTTATCATTTCGTGGTACTTTCTATTTTATACTAAAATCTTCGTCGTTGGAACAAGGTTTATTAGCACATCCATTCATACCCACTTCTCACAAACGACTTTAAGATGGTTTTGTATGATAGTTAAGCATAGCGAGTTGTGTAATAGTTTGTTACATATGAAAACTTAACATCTAAACAACAACTCAGTGAAGATAAACCATTTTTTTCTTAAGAGGAGAAGAAATCATTTTTTGTATGAATTTAAAAGTTTGCAAATTACTCCCTATGTTCCTAAATATAAGTCTTTTTAAATATTTTAATATAAACTACATACGGATATATATATAGATGTATTTTAGTGTAGTTTCACTCATTTTCATCCGCATGTGGTCTCTATTGAAATCTCTTAAAAGACTTATATTTATGAACGGAGGGAGTATAAGATAGGTGGAATACATTACCCAACAAGATTAACCCCCAATAAAACACACATCATACCGGAAATTTTAATAAAAATTCTGAAAGCATACTGTTGTTTAAAGATGAGATTGGCAGAAACATATTTACTCTCACTGATCCATATTACTAATATATCTAGCACTGAAATGGATCGGATGAAGTACTAACAAATAGTAGTTTTGAACCGCTTGACCCCAAAAAATGCTCAACTAACATCTTCAATGAGCGTGCAGGTGTTTTGGTGGTGATTTCTAATGCGATATTTTCCTTTGGCATGGATACACCACACAATTCTCACATATCATGAGGCAACCCTCATATAGTGGTTTCACACAACATGCACACATATCGCCGGCAACCACACCAGTCGCCAAACTCATTTGGCGGACTCAAACAACGCACACACACTAACAAGAAGTCTCATCCGGTGCTATCATGTAATCTCTTCTGACGGTATCACACAAGGCTCATACAACATACAACTCATGCACGTTTACATTCATACAAGAGTGCATTAATAGTAAGATTGACCCTGAGCACATGGAAATTATGGCATGGTGACAGTATTGTGGATTCGTGCACTTTACGCTCATACAAGAGTGCACGATCAATACAAATAGAACATCCGAAAGGCATCTGGTGAAAGGGAATTTACCTCCCAAAGTGCATTGGTTTGATGACGACGTAATTTGCGGACTGATCGAGTTCTTGAGGTACTAGGGCATACTCAAATGACACAACCCCTCGTGCTCGCCGTTTCTATACCCCTCACGGTTTTTTGGTATAGAAAGTTGCACTACCGTTTCATTCGAAGTCATCCCATCGCCTGCTGCCATTTGCGTGAAGAATGGCACACCAACATGGCAGTGGATGGGAGGAACTGACTATCACGCGCTCTCCATATGACCTATAGGGTCCACTTGTTAGCAAAGTAAGCAAACATAAAAAAACATTAGCATCCTTGTTTGCATTGTTTTTCCCCAGAATTTTCAAGGAGGTGCTATGTTTGCGGACAATACATCCACAGGCATATCCGTTAGGATGCTCTCTTCTGGCACCCCCAGCTTGCCGCTCTCCCTTCATACATATTGCCTTTGTTCCTGAATATAAGTATTTTTAGAGGTTTCAATACAAGCTAGATAGGGATGTATATAGACATATTTTAAAGTGTAGATTCACTTTATTTTCTCCGTCTCTTTTTGGAATCTCTAAAAGGAATTACATTTAGAAACGGGAGGGGTAGTTCTAAATCCATTTGCATTCAGCTGCAAGCTCACTGGTTCACGCCCCCCTGGGGGCAAAGGAAACTTGGGTTCGTTCGGTTCATGCAACTTGGTCAGAAATTTAAAACATTTTTCAAAAACGAGAGACAGAAGTAGTAGAGATGAAACTAGAAAGCCCCCCGAGGCGAGGCGGCAGGCGGCAGGCGCACATGAAGCGCGTGCGAGATAAAACAAGTGGCGGGAGACGGGGCAAAGCCGCGGCCGACAAGAGACACGGCGACAGGGAGAGAAAAGAAAAGAAAAGGTCGCAACTCTCCCACCGAATACGCATCCGTCGCCATCACCCACCCATACCCCCCGGCCTCAATCTTCACGTGTTCTTCGTGCCCCGCACCACCACCACGTCTCCTTCACTCGCCTAATCTATTCACGAAAACAAACCAAGCGGCCATGGAGGATGCGACTCTGCCTGCTTCTCCCTCCCTTCCCCTCCCCTCAACACCGCCCACCCCCCCTATATAACCGCCCTCCCCGCCATAGACTACCTCACATCCCGCCCCCCACAGCCATCCGTCCACAGAGTCACCACAGCCGCACCGCAGCTCCATCTTCACCACCGTCATCGTCAACGAGAAGCAGCGGCGAGCAGCAGCGCCCGGCCAAGAGACGAGACGAGACGAGAGAACAAGTGTTGCCATGGCCGCGATGGAGAGCAAGAGCCGGAGGTTCGCGCTGGCGTGCGGCGTCCTCAGCCAGTACGTCAAGGCGGAGCAGAAGATGTCCTCCTCCGCCGTCGTCGCCCCGCCCCCGCGCGCCCCGCCGGCCACCACGCTCAGCCTCATGCCCGGCGCCGACGTCGGCCAGGACCACGCCGCGGCGGCCGCTGAGGAGGCGGGCCCGGCCACGCCGCTCACCATCTTCTACGGCGGCAGGGTAGTCGTCTTCGAGGACTTCCCCGCGGACAAGGCGGCCGAGGTCATGCGCATGGCCACCACCGCCGGCGTCGAGCGCGCGGCCGCCACGCCCGCCCCGGCCCCGGCGCTCGCGGACCTGCCCATCATGCGCAAGGCCTCCCTGCAGAGGTTCTTCGAGAAGCGCAAGGACCGCCTCGGCGCGCGCGCGCCCTACGCCCGCCCCGCCGCGCCGGCAGCCAACAAGGGCTCGGAGGACAAGTCGGCGTCGTCCTCCTCGTGGCTCGGGCTGGCCAGCGCCGACGGCGCCTTCGCGCTCTGATCCGGACGGACGGACGGACGGGGCAAGACGGCTTGCTCGCTCGCCTCAAGACATCGTTTGTAGAGCACTTTCAATTTTAATGTATTCTTTGGGTAAAAATTCGAATAGCGAAAGAAAGAAAGAAAGAAACAAGATTGAGTTCATAGCAAGCCCTCTTTGTTCGTTCGTTTGATTTGATCGACAAATTCTTTTGATTTCTGCGCGGATCATCAGCCATGGTTCGCACAGAAACCCAGTTCAGTTCATGAACCGAACAATAACTTGAAATAAAGACGAGTGCTACCAGCTTCAAACAACGCTTCCTCCATGTCTGGCATCACGACCACGACTAGCACAGCTACGATTACCATCTTGAGTACGTATGCCATGATCCCATGAACCGAAATGTCAAGGGAAGAAACCCATCTCCAGTTCGGCAAGCACGAGTTCATGGCGGAGGGGAGGGGAAGGGTGGGTGAGAAACGGTCAGAAAGGGGGGAGCGCAACTTGTCAAAAGGGGGACGGGGGTTGCGGTGGGAGACTTGGACGTGCGTACGCGTCATTGCCCTTTGTTTTTCTCTTAGAATAACGAAGAAATGGCGCACGTTCATGGCGTTCCGGGGGAACAACCATTGCTCGGCCCTTCGCTCTCGGCCCTCGCGCGCCCGGACCACGCGCACACGCGGCGACGGCGACGGCGGCGAAGACGACGACGACCCTCGGAAGCCCCGTGGCTCCCTCTCCTCCTCCAACGTGGACGTGTCGGCGCCACCTGTTGGCCGCCGGCCTCGTGAAAGCGTGTGCTGATCCGACCCGAACGTGACAGCGGAGGAGCGAGTGTGGACGGGGCGCGCGGCATCCATGGATGCTCGCCGGAACGGAGTGGTTTACTTTGCGCCCTGCACCCGGGGGCTGGAGGTGCTTTCCTCGTCGGCGCACGGCGCGCGCGCGTGGCCGGCCGATTCGGTCGGTGATGCGCTCTGTCTGCCCCCCGGCCGGCGCAACGTGCTCGGCACGGCGCGTGGGATGGTAACGGGAAGGAAGGAACCGGTTGCTTGCTTGTGCTTGAAAAGCTCCCCTTTTTCGCCTTTCCGGACGGCGAATCCGCCACGTTTTTAGTTCGTTCGCGCCACGCCGGATCTGATCGAGGGGACTTTGCTGTCCTGGGCGACTAATCTTTTAGTACTTTTTAATAGGGAATCTAGTGGTGTTGGTGGTGGCGAGCTGGGGCTGTTTGCCCGCTTTGCTCCCCCCTGGGCTGAGATCGTGTTTAGACTTTATAGACAGACAAACAAAAGCTACTACTAATAGCACCGCCAGGAAAAGAGTCGGAGTAGGCCGGCCATGATCGTGCTAGCAGCAGCTTGAAACGTCAAACCGGTTAGCTAGGCATGCTGGCCTTTCAAAGCACGTTGCCCTGCGCTCATGATCTAGGTTAGCTAGCGAGATAGCCTAAACGAGTACGTACATAATAGTATAAGAGGATTCTCCCCTTGAAAAGAAAAGAAAAGAAAAGAAAAGAAAAGAAAAGAAAAGGTCTCGGAGACAACGTGTGCGCCTTCTGCTCAGGATGCATCATGCCTTGGTGAAACTTCTCTGTCCCGGAGAGCATGCAACAGGGGTGGGAGAAGAAAGATGTCACACCTGCACCAACCAAACTGCCCAGTTGAGCTGCAGGCAAAGAGACTGTAGGAGGAGCATGTGCGAGGTGCGGTGTGCTTTCCCTTTCGTCCAAGAATCCAACACCCCGTCACGAGAAGCAAACTCCATCGACTAGCACATGTTTTCTTTCAGTTGACACATGTTTCAATCCCCCTCCACCGCTCATGGATTTTTAAAACCCTAGCAATTTGCGCCGCGATTCCCCCACCCCGCAACCGCTCACACGAGAGGGAAGTTTCAGCATATGGCCTCTTCCTCCCGTGCGCATCCCGATCAATGGCGCGGTCATCCGTACTGCCGACGTTTCCGCCCCTGTCAATGTCATAGCTGCATATCCATGGAGAAGAGTATCAATTAATGGACGTTGTGGCGTTTCACACCGGTCTTGCCACCCCCAACGCGACAAATCTCACCTTCACGGAGCATGCTCATTCCAGGGTATATAACCCCCATCACTCTTCTTTGTCGGCGCCACCACATTCACCCTCTTCCTCCATCACAGTTACCGCAAACTCACCCACCATCGCCCTTCGTTGGCCGTCACCCTCTCTCCCCCCCATTACAATGTCGGTGTGACCGTACCCTCACCATGAAATACAGAATTTCTATTACTACAACGCAAAAGCAAAAGATAAAAAAGTGATGCAAAATGCACTCATCAATATGGCCAACCTACAGTCGCCCATGAGGTTGTAAATAATGCACAATAAGAGGGTTAAATGTAAGAGCATCTGCAATCACCCATCATATCTAACACAAATCTTGGGCGGATATGGGGAGGCCTGGTACGCCCGCGCGCGTTTGCCACGTCGGACCCGACCCTCGCTGGCCTACCCCGACCCCATATATATTCGTCCTCATCCGCTCTCTGAGTCAAACCCTAGCCACTTTGCTCCACTCCACTCCACTACTCTCCGGCCCAATGCTCCCTTCTGACGATTTTCGGACTTCTCTGGCATGTGAGACAGTGGATCCGACTCCGACCAGTATGGACCCATAGACTGCGGCGTATGGGCCCGACCTATTATGGATTCGATCCGACGGGAATCCATTGTATCGGTGGAATGGATGCTCGAAGCCGCCGGAGTAGGAAGCTCAAGGTTCGTCTGTCGTCCATCTCCGATGCGGTGGAGTATGAGAGCTACATAGACCTGTGTGCCCACCGTAAGAAGCAGATTGCGCGGGAGGTCGAGGCCCGCCTTGCTGCCGACATGCTGACCGACGGATGTGGCGGCGCACACTGCCTTGGAGGAGGAGTTCGTCTGTGCCCACATCGTACAGAAGCAGCAGAGGAAGAACCACACGCCCTCGTCCGAGAGCAAAGTCGGGGGGTCCGTGCCATGGCCGGACTGCCCTCCAAAGATAAGAAGGAGGACAGTGACGGGTCGGACAACTCCAGCAATGAGGAAATCCAGCTTGATCCATTTTGCTTCTTCAAGCGCAAAGACGACAAGGGGAAGGACAGTCGTGGATGATCTTTGTCCATAGCTAGCATATAGGTAGAACATGTCAATTTTTGATAGTCCAATGACATGTATAGTAGCCGGACACTTTGAATTTGAGTTTTGTTAAATGAGGTATCCGATTATGGAATTTTTTTAAAGCGTGACCGCTCATTGTCCGCGGAAGATTGAGGGGCTGGATTTGGTATGCTCTAAAGCAGCCGGCCATGGGTGACCCCGGGGTATATCCGCCAATCCACGATCATCTTCCTGCATCCGTCGGGGCAGTACCGGAGATGGAGAGTGGCGATGATTGCATGTTGTCAACCATGCCTTTGAAGCTCTCCCACCGGCACACTTCTAATGGCTACTCGCCACCGGAGGGTTGGACGGGGGCAAGGCAACCGGTGCTGGTGCCACTTGTCGGTGAGGAGCGTGAGGAGGAGCTAGTAAACTAGGGTTGTTTGCCCACTTTGATCCCCCTGAGATCATGTTAAAAGTTTTGACAAAAGCTACTAGCATGAGCAGGAAGCGTCAAAACACTTCCTCCGTTTTAAATTAGGGTGCGTATTAGCTTCGATCAAAGCCAAGCTTTGTAACTTCGACAAAGTTTACAAACAAAAATACTGAAATATAGAATAACAAATCCACATCACTTGGTTTATTATTGAATGTGCTTTCACATAATATAGATTTGTTAAGGTAAATGTTTATCCTGTTTTCTATAAACTTAGTCAAAGTTTACGAAGTTTGACTTCAACCAGCTCTAATATGCAGAGTAAATAAAAACAAAGGGAGTGCATACATCTCAGAAAAGAAATGTAGGTCAAAATAGGCCGGCCAGGCCAGAGAAATGAACGACAGGTATCGATCACAGCGTAACAATGGCACCTAAAAATGTGAAACTTCCTTTTTGACGGGACCTTACAAAATGTCAAAGCAGCTAACCAGACATGCTGGCCTGTCAAAGCACGTTGCCCCGTGCTAATGATGAACAAATCTTTCAGGCTGTCTGTGCGCGACGCAGCAAGTCGAAAGACCGACGCTGCAGCCGGCCGAAACGATGGTTGTCGACGCGACAAGATTCTCCCCCTCCCACAGTTTCCTCCTTCCCAAAGGCATCTGAGAGAGACGAGGAGCAAAGCCCGTTGGTTGGCGGAAGCGTGTTCCGAAGTCCCACTTTGTTTCCGCGCAGCCCGGTGCCGTCTCCTTTAGACCAACCCCGAGTTGACCGGGGGACAAAGCAAAGACTTGTTAGAACCCGAGCCGGGCTCTTCGAGGTGCACTGCTTTACCTTTCGTCCAAGAATCCAACACCCGGCCTACGGAAGCAACTCCACCCGAGCACGTGTTTTGAGCCCACGCCTTATGCAGTTATGCACGTGTGTTTTCAGTCGGGTGGCATGCGGTTTTGGTTTATTTGGGGCCCGTTTGGTCCCGAATTCTGTTTAGCGCTTAAAGCGCCGGTTTTAGGTCATTTGGCAAACTTCACGGGCCGCCAAAAGTAGTTCTTTTTAACCGTTTCAGGTTCTGCAGTGATTTTCTTGGAATTTTTACTTTCGTTTTTTCTCTCGGGGATTACTTTCGTTTTTATGCGCGGTTTTCTCTCAGTTTTTTTATGTTCCCTTTATTTTTTAAAATGCACGAGCTTTTTTCAAATTTGAATACTTTTTCCAAATTCATGTTTTCTAAAAAATATTAACTTTTTTTCAAATTTATGATTTTTTTTTCGAATATGCAAACTTGTTTCTGAATCTGTGAACTTTTTTATTTGAAAAATTGTGACATTTTTTAACAACACATGAAATTTTCTTCAAACCCATGAACTCTCTGTCAAATTTGCGAATTTTGTTCTACCAAATTGATAAACTTTTTCCACGTCCATGTCTATTTTTCAATATTCATGTTCTTTTTCAAG